TACTAATACCACTAAAATCCATTAGAACCGTATACACTAAAAAAAATCTCATGTAGCTAAGAATTTGTGAGAAAATTTACCAATATATTTGCCTCTTCAACTATAATCTTGTCACTCAATGGCAACGATTTATATATTCACAGAAAATGTAAGCATTTCTGGACCACAAAGAGGTTTGTGCATTTGAACACCTCTACATTTGTTAGCATTACTAGACGAATTGCAAGCATGCCAGCAATTTTATGAAGAGACAAGAGTGTAAGGTTGGACAACGCCTGTTAGCAGAACCAGATAGCACAATGCTGGAACATGCGGATGAAGTCAATGACTCCTTACACCAGAAAGACGAAACCACACGTCTCGACACCCTCGTGCGATGAGTTTGCCACTAACAACTAAGACACGGCTGCAGCATGCCAGCGACAAAGCATGAAGAGGGCTAGTCATCATACACATGATCAAGCTGTCTAGCTCATCCAGCACAAAAAACTGATCCTCGTGTGCGAGTTTGCCCCTGATAATTAAGACACTTTCGACAAGCCCATATACTCGTTCATAAATGTATGAAACGATAAGAAGACAGCAGAGCGGCATAGACTTGCCTTGAAGATGGGGGACAAACTCTCGGGGCTTGAACTGACAAGGTTCCACTAAATGATAGCTTGAGCATGTAACTATGTGAAGATCCCTTATCAAACTATACCATTGCTAATTAGTCCTTGCTGCCAATTAGTGGAACATGAGATGACTTTTGTGTTGGGATCTCTATGCTTCTGCCGGATCTCAAGGCTGATGTAATGGCATGATTCTTCATGTCTACTAATCAGATGCTGCAGCACAGCTGTACACATATCTTCTGTATAAATAGGCGTCAGCAGAATGGTAGATGCATCAAACTAGAACTCTTCTTTCTTCCTCCTCTCTTCGACCACAATACCGAGCAAATATTCAAGCTCAGACATGGCTTTCCACCAAAGATCGACAAGTTTGCCTTCTAGGCCTCACGTCAGTGAGACCGAAGTCGAGCTAGAGCTTCAGAGCCTAGAAGCAAGCATCTCTTCCTCTAATTCCATCAGCACGATGTGCGATGGTCTCAGGACTGTTGCAAACATCTACGATGGTCTCGAAGAAATCATCTGCCTACCAAGAAACCAAGTTTGCTCCTCCCAGCAGAGGAGCATGTTGGATGGAGAAATGGACGGTTCTCTTGAATTGCTAGATCTCTGCAACGCCATGCAAGAGATCTTCGTCGAGATGAAGGCCATCATCCAAGAGCTGCAACTGGCTGTAAGGAAAGGTGATGACGCAGCTATTCAGGCCAAGATCCAATCCTACACCCGCTTGGTGAAGAAGTCGAAGAATCTTTTCAAGAAGACTGCAAAGAAGGCTCCTGCAGATTGTAGCATGGTCATGCTGTTGGCCAAGGCTAGAGAGATCTCTGTGTCTCTGCTGGAGTGCACACTCCATCTCTTGTCAAAGCAAATCGAAATGCCTAAACAGTCTCTTGTTTCCAAGGCATTTCACAAGAAGAAGGCAGCTGTTTGCAAGGAGGAGCAATTGTTGTGGCTAGATTGCAGTATCGGAGATCTCGAGAGTGGAGCGGGACATCTGTTCAGGAAATTAGTCCAGAGCAGAGTTTCCCTACTCAACATCCTTAGCTCGTAGATACTCCCAAGTCACTCTTGGCGCCCTCCGATTGGCACCCGCCTTTTTAAGGAATAGCTGATCTTCATACAATTTTGCCATATGTATATCTACACTATACTGTACAAATGTTCATGATACTACAAAAAGAGAAAGAAAAGTTTTGATCCATTTGACCATTTCTTCCTTGAAGACGTGTTTGTGATCCCAGTATAGTCTATTTTGAAGCCCATGGTTAGTGAATCTTGTTCCTTATGCATGAAACATGCCAGCTCAAAGTCAAATGGCCTCAACTTGTACTTGGCAGAATCAATCAATTTTATTGTCCACCACCACCACATGGATGTGCAGTCTGGCATAATTAGTGCGCTCAAATTTTAAACATCGTCGACATCTATATCATTTAGCATTGAACAAAATGAAAATTACCCTACAACCAAGCTTTTTGCATGTTCTACCGGAACAACAATAATCCAAACTTGACATTGCGCACAGTTTTTGTTTATCATGATTCTCAACACACAAAGAACCCTTTTCGAGAAAAAATACACAAAGAACAACCGATTCTTTATATGCTTATTTATTATTTCAAACTTCACCTAAGTAAAGATGCCGATGTCCGAGAATCAGTTAGTACGACTAAAAGGTAACAGGATTGTACAAAATCATTGAAAAAAAAGAGACACACAATAAAAGCTTGTCTGTGTAGTGGTTAGATATCAAATGGTCATGCTACTCACACGGTGGGTGGCTGAAAGCCTCAAACTGAAAAAATGGGGATAACACGCTGAACCACTAACATGAATCTTGAGCAGTGGATCTTGTTTCCGTGGCCTAAACATGCCAGCACCGACCGTCGAGGATCTAACTTGTGATACCCATCAGTGCCCACCAAGGAAAATACCATATTAAAAGGCATGTTACAGCTAAATGCTAGGTTAGTGATCCATTAAATAATTGCATGGGCGTGCAATTATGCCAAGACCCACCGTCAGACTAAACCGCATCTTTTTCATTGGTTCTTGCTGCCAATGGCTGGAACATGATAACGTGGTGACTCATCTCATGGACAGTAGGCACAGAAAACAATGTACTAAACATGAGAAGACTTTAGTGCTGCGATCTCAAGGCATAGCAGACAGCATGTGGGAGTTGCAATGACATGATTCTTCATGTCTACCAATCAGATGCTACGACACAGCTGTACACATCTTCTGTATAAATAGGCGGCAGCGGAACGGTAGATACATCAAACAAGAAGCTCTTATTTTCTGCTTCTCCTCCTCCTCCCATCAACCACAAGACAGCGAAAAGCTTCAAGCTCAGATATGGCTTTCCACCAGAGATCGATTAGTTTGCCTTCTAGGCCTCACGTCAGTGAGACCGAAGTCGAGCAAGAGCTCCACTGCCTAGAAGCAAGCATCTCTTCCTCCAATTCCATCAGCACGATGTGCGATGGTCTCAGGAGTCTTGCAAACATCTACGATGGTCTTGAAGAGATTATTTGCCTATTAAGTAACCAAGCTTGCTCCTCCCAGCAGAGGAACATGTTGGATGGAGAGATGGAATGCTCCATTGAGCTGTTAGATCTCTGTAGCACCATGCAAGAGACCTTCGCCGAGATGATGGTCATCATCCAAGAGCTCCAACTGGCTCTAAGAAAAGGAGACGCTGCAGCTGCTCAAGCCAAGATCCAGTCTTTTATTCGCTTGGTGAAGAAGGCCAGGAAACATTTCAAGAAGTCTGCCAAGAAGCCTGCATTTGACAAGATGGTCATGCTATTGACCAAGGCAAGAGAGATCTGCATCTCTGTGTTCGAGTCCACACTCCATCTCTTGTTGAAGCAAATTGAAATGCCAAAGCAGTCTCTTGTCTGCAATGCATTTTACAAGAAGAAGGGAATTGTCTGCAAGGAGGAACAATTGCAGGAGTTAGAGTGCAGTATCGAAGATCTTCAGAATGGAGCAGGAGATCTGTTCAGGAAATTAGTCCAGAACAGAGTTTCTCTTTTAAACATTCTTAGCTCATAGATACTCCACATCACTCTACTCCCTGTGATTGGCATCCGCCTTTTTGAGGATGAGCCGATCTTGATACAGTTTTGCCATATGTATACAGTACAAATGTACAGAAATTATAGAAACAAAGACCAAGGTTTTGATCCATCTCAGATTTTGCGATAAATTGATAAAATCTCTTGGGGCTTTCTGATGAATATATGCATGACAAGAGGAAATGTGTATGATGTGAATCCATCGTGTATTTGCTAGGTTTGTGTCACTGGTTTCAGTTCTGTGGTAAATGATAACAGCAAGATGATTTTAGACCTACATGCAAGTTTTTTTACAAGTTAACATTACCTTAAGATTCAATGTTTTTTGAGCTGCACAAGATTCTTGATTAGCACACGATCTTTATTTTGTAGATTTCACTGATCACTGATCATGCATAGGACACGCCAGGTCGAAGCCACATGGTTGATGGTTGCGTCACACCTAACCAGATTCCCTTCATAGTTGCAAATGCTGTCCATCATAAGCTCAGTTACTATTTTGGTATGTATCTACCTTATTATTCTTATTCATATGATAAGCTTGCATTGCTGATAAAATCATATAGCTAATTGTGATGGATAGGTTAACGGAAAAAATGAAATAAAAAATTTTCTTAATAATAAAACAATCCATATTCACATAGGAAAAAATTGTATGCTGGTTTCTTGTGCATGATGTTATTTGGTATTTCATGGGAGATGATTATTGGATTGAGCATCACGGATTTTTGAGATACCATATCCTAATGTTAATACACTTTTTTTGAAAAGGAGGATGACCCCCGGTCTCTGCATCTGGAAAATGCATGCAGTCATTTTATTAATTATGCACAAGGACCTTACAAGGTAATACATCAATATGTCTGAATCCGCCATCTTTGCGACATGTGTCGCAACTCCTATCCAATTGATGAAGGGATGCAATAAGCCTAAGCCGAATACCGAGACCTCTCTAACATCTCACCAAAGCCTAACATCTAAAACCGAAGGCCTGAACGAAGCCACATACTAGGTGTGGGGCACAAACTGGTTTGACGGACGCTCAAGGGTCGCCACCACCATCTTCCACCAGTCTATCTTAAGAGCAGGTATTGACGCATCGTCCTTGCCAGTCCTGCCGCCGACGGCGCTAAACAACGCCACCACCTTGCTCTCGTCCATCCAGACACTTCTGTCATCGAGATCCAGCCGCCTCATGCCGCGAGTACTCGTCGTCTTCATGCGGTAGATGACATGCCGCTCCACCTGCGAACCTCTAGACCACCGCCACCAGCCCTTGCCACCCAGATCCCACCGCCAGAACAGCCTTCTCCCGAACACCAAAGCCTCCCGGCCCGGAGGACGCCTTAATGAAGGGTACGACGCGCAAGGCATCGC